GAGAGTTTCGTAAAGTGTCTCGTCGTTTCTGTTGAGAATGACACGTATGTCCGTAATATCGACTCTCAAGCGCGATGATAGCTTCGACTATTCTAGAATTTTTCAGACAGATTTGAGAGATACGCGTTTATATTTAACTTAAAGTATACGTCACAATCTCGCAATAATATGAACTCGATCATTTTTATTTTGTATCATTTTTTCCTGCAAGATTTTTCATAATATCGAATCAAATTTTTTCTCTGGGACGAGAAAGTCTTGAGTCTTGAAGCATTGATTGGCTTGAATCGCAAAATTTTACACTTTACGTACTTCTCGCGCATTTGATATTGATGCGCTATGTTTCGAATTTTTTACGAGTGCTCCTCTTTCTGCTTTCCGTTACTATAATCCTTACGATGCGCCTCGACAAAGACATTTCCAATTCTCGGAGAGGAAGGAAGTTTAAAGTCGCTTGGCAAGGGACCAATGCTCGTTCTGCTATACTCTATTTCAAGATTACCAAGAACGCAGCCAAGCAAACGATGCCTCTTCCCCATCGTCACCATCAGAGTCATACAATCCCTTTCCCGAAGTGAAAGGACAAAGAAAGAGCGTACGCAGATCGAAGGAAAGATTTAATTTATCGGAGCCGAAGAGCAGACACGGCTGAAAGTGCCTGTCTTCCTTAATAGTCATCGACGTCGCATTTATCGTAATGAGCTCATTCTTCTAGGGGGCGATGTCGCGAATAATACCGATAGGATGCTCATTTGGAAAAAAAGATTTTGCTTTGTGCCTTCGTGGCGTATTTGATGCTAAATGTGATTACTTCACACATACAGTTTAGTTGATTTATATATAATATATATAATATAAAAATTGTGTCCTGCATTACATTATTGATGTCGTATAATCATTATTATAATTATTGTTAAATAAAATCATTAATGTAGTATAATTAATTGTAATTTATATATTGCTATACATGATAGTTATATTAATTCCAGAATTATTTTAAATGATATTGACATATATGAAATCATATATACAAATATCAAATTCAATAATCATTACATTGCTCTGGATTATTGAGAAAAGTTAATCGCGGTGTATAAATCAGTATGACCTTAATGTCATTTCCTTTTGTGATCAATACATTCTTCCATCAAAAAGGCACGCAATTTATACACATCTTATCTCGATACTTTTTCGATTCTTATATTCACGGCAGGATCAAGACAATGCTTTGCTGTCAATTAGACGGGGGCAAGTTACCTGCGGGATTCCTATCAAAAGTAATGCGCCGATATTCCCGGCAAGGAGCAGCCTTCGACCTCGATCCACTCGAGACGCCTACGTGAAGGGTTTAGATAACAGCACGCCAGAGAGTTACTCGAAACTTCGCCGCTTCCTTCTTCGGGGCCAGGCCGCACCAGGTTGTTCGTCCTTTTTCCATTCCCGCCACTCGACGATCCCTTGCCACCCTATTCTCTCTTGCTCGGTCCTCCCACCCTCACCTTTCACCCTCCGTGCTCCGGACGCGCCCGCGAACTTTCAAGCGACAGTTTGACAAAATGCAGATTTCCTTCGTTTCCCTGACAACGATCGGTTTTTCTGCTTCCTCTTTCTTCTCCATTTCTTTTTCTTCTTTTTCCCTTTCGTCTCTTCAGCCTTTTCCCACTTCGCCGTACTTCGAACAGTAGTGCTCCGTCCCGCTACCAGCAATCGCCGCGCCGCCTCCTTACTCGCACTTCCAAAGCTTTCCCTTTTCTCTCTCAGTTACTTCGTTTTTCTATGTGTTTCTGTTCAACCGTAGATCTTTGGTCTGCCCGAATCAGATTCAGTGAGTAATATCCGCAGGAGTTTTACCAGTAGAAAAACAAAAGTGGTTAAAATGACCGTTTGCGAATTTCAGTCTCTTTATTTAGTAGACCTATATACACGTACCATAATGTAATTGTGCTTTCGAAAAAGAGTTGGACCATATCAATTGACTATGTACATATAATATTGCATCTGTGTAGCAGTGCAGCCTGTAATAGGTTATGTTGGCTCAATCTGACGGATGCTTTTAAAACGTAGTAGAAAAAAAGGAGAAAAAAAGAGACATATCCTCCCGTCAAGTATCTCCCTTTCACGGTGGATGAATCTCAGTGGATGGCGTTCCTAAAAAGAGATAAGCGCGAGAAAGGGATTTTTTTTCCGGATGGTTGATGTTGTTGGTCGGACGGCCGGTACAACTTCTCGCCCCC